AGTCGAGGAGTGAGAAGTAGTGTATGAGTGAGAGGGGATCGTATGCTCTTATCATCATATTTATTGAGAGAGAGAGAGAGAGAGAGAGAGAGAGAGAGAGATGTCGAGTTGAATATAAAGTGAGCTGAGGTTTGAGAGTCCCTAATATATTCTATTTGGGAGATAAAAGTGATCCCAAATAACACAATGGATTCAGTGGACAGAAAAATGCTGTTTAATATCCAATTGTATGGCAAAAGGCATTGAGAATAGCAGCTAAACTTTACTCCAGTTATAATTCTCTCTCTCTCTCTCTCTCTCTCTCTCTCTCTCTCTCAATAAATATGATGATAAGAGCATACGATCCCCTCTCACTCATACACTACTTCTCACTCCTCGACTATACACTCATCACTCGTTTTTCATATAATATTTCACTTCTATTTAGTGTATATTAAGTGAAATTTCAATTTTCTCTCTTTATTATAGAAATAGTTTTAATAGATTCTCAACACAACACCCATTGGACTGATAGACATGTTTGTCATTCCAGTGCTCGTCAGTGACGGACAATATTTTCAAATTTTAAAATACTGTTTGTGTAGATATTGATTGGATTATTACAAATATTTAACATGTAAATTAAGCGCTGTTTTAATTAAACTTTTTTATAAGTTATTATTTTATAAAAATTACAAATAATTTCTATATTGCTAATTTAATTACAAAAATTTATTTTAATATAAAATATTACAATAAAATTCTAAATAAAATATCAGATAAATAACTATCATATTTAATACATAACAAAATTAACATATTTAAATAAATTAAACTAGATTATACCCCTTATTATAAACCAATACACACACTCTTTTATATTAAATGCAGAATATGTATAAATATACATAAATACAGCAAACCTTATACTAAATCTGAATTATTGTATTGTTTGGAGAGGGGTTTGAGAGGGAGTCGTCTCCCAATTTTGAGGACAACGGGAAAACACATCAAATCTAATGTAACAGATGTTTGGCTTATATTTTGTGTCGTTTGTTGTATTTTCGCTGCTATATATATAACAATCTCAATCTTAATCTCAATCTAAAACATTGTATTATTTTATTATTTCTCTTATCTAAAAGAGAAAATTTCTTATCAAAACACAGAATAACTTAATTATTGTGTAAATTCACGTAAACTATAGAATAGTACACTCTATATGTTTATCATTAGTTTGCAAAACAAAATCACAACATATTCTACAAAGAAGTAGAACTTTAATGAATATATTAATACAAAATGCAAATAAATTATTTAAATACGGGTTAAGGGATTAAATACATAAATGTTAAGATTGTAGCATAATTTGTGTCCGAGCATTGATGTCCCCACACAGCTCTTGGTTGTAAAGGGCACAAGAATTGCGTTTGGACAATCACAGCTTGGAACTTTGACATCACAATCACCTCATCATTCTTCTCATACATCACAACTATATTGTATTTTCCATTTCAATATTTTACCGTTTCTTCTCATAAAGACATACATAATATCGTCATATCATTTAGTAAGAGAGCAGAGAGAGAGAGAGAGAGACTTAAAAATGTATTAATTTGAATAGTGAATGCATACGCCGGCGCCCATAGCCCAGGCAGCGATTACACGTTTGCAATTTTCTAATATTTTAGGTTTTTCGGGCGCAAAACAGGCGCCATTCCATTCGGGTAACTCTTGATCGCCAGACACCTCGCAGTGGAACAGTTCCATGTGATGGACCTTTAGATGATAATTGCGTTCAACAGGTTTTACAACAACTTTGTATTGTAGAAAGAGATGTCTTACCAGTCCTTCGTTGCCTTCCTGTATGACTGCCTCATACTGTATGACGTGGTGTTTGTCTTTGAGTTCCGGCGGTAATGCGTGTCGTCGGCACCAGTATGTGGTCTCAACATCGGGTACATTGACTTCATTATTAACTAAGTCAACCATTTTTGTGTTTGAAGCCAATTTTGGCAACACTTCCAACAACTTCAACAGTTGAACCCTTTGGAAGCCGTGTTTGTGGTCAACAAGTCTTATACCATCCACTCTAGATATGGGACCCCTTCCCGTCGCGTACACTATATGTGTTGTGCCCTCCTTTTGGTACACAATTTTAGTGGATTTAAAGTTTGAGTTCACAATTAGTTAATATCGTAAAAGTTATGAAAATGTTTACTTCAATGATATAATCGTTGGGATCGCAGGTATCAAAGTCCCGATGAAAGGCATATCT